AATTTGGGCACACACGCACGTGTTCCCAGAGTGAGTTTTAAGCTGCCTGGTCCAGGACTTGAACCACAGTTGACTACATGGGAGTCCAGTGACAAAACCACTGTGCCACCTGATGGTCCCCAAAGATTATTTTTTTAATTGCCAGAGGGTGCTTGCATTTGCCAGAGAGATAGACAGAGAAAGAGGGAAAAAGCATACACAATTTCGTGTCTCACTGAATGGGACATGGTTATGTCACAATCCCTTCTCCTTCATCTTTCCATCCTGTCAGAATCTGGGGTATACACACACATGTTCTCAGCATGTTTTTTTTTTTTTAAGAGGTTTTTTCACTATAGGGCGCATGAGCTCACCAGACAGACACAGAGAGAGACATAGAGACAGAAAGCGAGAAATCATTCCCCAGGGGGGATGGTCACACTGCAATCCCTTCTCCTCCATTCTCCTCTCGGGATCTTGGGCACGCACACACACGCGCCCAGAGTGAGTTTTAAGCCACCGGGTCGGGGACGCAAACCGCGGTGACTACATGGGAGTCCAGCGACACAGCCATTACGCTAACTGCTGGTTCCCTCAGCATGGTTTTCAAGCAGCTGCCAGACCCAGAACTCAAACTGCACTGTTGACCACAGGGGATCTGGGTCCCTTAACCACTAAGAGATGAACTGGCTCTAATGTTTTAAGTGTTAGACATTTTATTAAAGTAATCTTTATGATACAGCCACTGGATGTCTTGTCATACAAAAATATGCATGAAGACTATTTCATGTATAAAGAAAATATTTTTATAATACTGAGAAAGTATAAATAACATTTCATAAGTACATGAACTTGCCCTTATAAAGAGCATACACAGAGAAATAACTTTCCAGAATTATGTCTAAGTGTTAGTCAGACTTGATTTTTGGGTGGTGATCTTTTTTTAATTCATGCTAGAGCACATGTGTGCACACATGAGAGAGAAAGAGAGAGAAGAGTATCTTCCACAGGGTCTGGTCATACTAGTTTCCCTTTCCTCCAGTCCTCCAGCCTATCAGATCCCAGGCACTTATGCTCATGCCCAGCATGTTTCAGACTGGCCAGCCATGCTATGTGGAATCCAGTTTCTCCTGAGCAGCACATTAATGTTGCATCATGGAGCTGACCCCTGGATGGTGATCTTATAAGTACTTTCTCCTTTCCTTAAAAATAATCTAATTTACATTTCCTTGGATAGTCGCACATTACTTATACTATTAGGGGAAAAACTGAAAATTGAGTTGTCAAAGATGCAAATTTCCATGGAGTGGCTAAGACATTAAGCCTTATCAGTCTTTGAACCTTTGGGCCTATTTGACCCCTTCAGGGAACAACCGCCCCCCAACACACACACACACACACACACACACACACACACACACAAACACACATACAGCCTTTTTGCCAGCTAAATAATTCTGAGGAGGACCAGTCCAGGGGAACAACTTTGTAAATATATCTCACCAGGGAGTCAGGGAGGAAATCTATTTCAGGATTGACAATGGAACAGGAAAATCCCTGAAGGCAGGAACATAAAAAGGCAAGTGCCCCAGTAGGAGTAAGGCAAGGTTATCTACTTTGATTTGGTGTCGACCCTAGGCTTCCTGACAATCCAGTGACCACTGTAGAATGGGCCCTTATAAAGTATGGGAAATGGGGTTCCATGAGCTGGGATTTGGGGAGCACCATGCTATGTTTAGCCTCATCTCATCCTTGATCTGGGCCAGGGGTGACCTCAAAACACCAATGACTAAGGAGACAGAAAAGAGAGGAAAGAGGATATCTTACTTAGAATTACCTCTTTAGTAGCCAAGACTCCACTGGGTATTCACAAGATTTCCACTAAATGACCAGGTACTAAGTGAAGGGATATGAGAAATAGATACAGAATAGCATATAAATTCAGAGATGGGGACACTTTATATCTTGACCTGTTATAACTTGGACCATTCTTATTTTTCCCTTTTATTATTATTATCATTATTTATACATTCAATTGCTATACATCATTTAGATTGTAAAGAGATTTTACCCAGCATGATATACACCTCAGTTCAGTTGAGAATACTATACACATCTTCATCAAAAGATAATAAACCATATCTGTGTCCCACAAATATCTTACCTCTCCATTTTCCCCACTAATTTCCTTTCCTGTGCTCTTCCCCTCCCACACTCTCCTTCTATTTTGTCTCTAGTGTGCATAACAATTTTTAATGCTTTTATGTCCTCCAGTCTTTCAATCTCTACCATAAAGTGCAGACAGTCGGTATATGTTAAGTGAAGACATACAATGTCTCTCTTTCATAGCCTGACTTCCTTCACTCAGCAATAAATCTTCCACATTTGTCCATTTTCTATCAAATTCCAGGGCCTTTTTTTTTTTTTTGAGAGGTTTTTGCTATAGGGCGTGTGCACTCGCCAGAAAGACAGAGAGAGACAGAGAGATAGAAAGCGAGAAATCACCCCCCAGGAAGGATGGTCACGTCACAATCCCTTCTCCTCCATTCTCCTCTCGGGATCCTGGGCATGCACGTACACGCGCCCGGCGTGAGTTTTAAGCCACCAGGTCTGGGACGCGAACCGCAGTCAACTACATGGCAGTCCAGCGACATAGTCATTACGCTAACTGCTGGTCCCCCTTGTTGTTTGTTTATGGCTGAATAATATTCCATGGAGTATATGTGCCACACTTTTTCAATCCATTCATCCATTTATGGATATTTCGGTTGGTTCCATGTCTTAGTAATTGTGAATAGCATATACATACAGAGATGGGGACACTTTATATCTTGACCTGTTATGCCATGAACCATTCTTGTCAATTTGCTGATATCTATAAACCCCTTCTCATAATATTTGTAAACTCATGAAATAAAGTAGATACAAGAAGATCAATCATATTGAGATAGCAAAATTTAATAATTTGCTTATTACCTAGCATTGGGTCTCATTAGTTAGTGATTATTAGTGTAACCTCAAATTTTTATTGGACATAAATTATATTTTGAGAAATCTATAATAACTCAATTGTGATATGGAAATAGCTTAGATTTCCATTAGTGACAAAGTCACAGGTAACACTACTACCGTTGCCTTTTTTTAAAAAAAAAATTTTTTGCCTACATTCATAATCAAAAGAGAGGCTAAATTGTAAGTGAAAACAAATATGTAATTCTCCTCCATCCAAATTCATAGCTCCTTCCCATTTAAAATCCTATTCATAGACCCCCACGGAAGTACAAAAACTCTACATTAAGGAACGTCATATAAGTTTATTTTGATTCACCCAATACTAATGAAACACAATGTTTAAGGAACTATGATTGGAGTAGAACTGCAGAGCCAGTCCCTGACCTCAAGGCACTAACCAAATAATAGGAAAATTATAATGAAAGGGAGACTCTGATAAGTGCC